CGAATTTGCGACAGAAAACTCTTATTTCCGGGCCTTGTAACAAAAGAGTGTGCAAATATTGTTTCTGTAGTAAATTACTTCCTCGAACACGTGGTGAAGCCAGAATCCATGTTTCATGGGTCATTGATACCGAAAAGTCGATTGACGGGAAACGTCTGTTTGACCGTCAGACGGTGATCAACGCTAGCGCTTAACCGCTTCCCCTCATTTCCTTCAAAATTGATATTCCCGGATCGATGTAAAGAAACTCGATGCTCTGCCAGTAAATTTTCAGAGGTACTTTACGTGAAGCTTCAATTACATTTTTTTTAAATATCCAAAAAATGGCTGCACACTTTTTTTATTAACTTTCCTCTTGAATAGCGTAGAAAATGCTTACTAGAATGGCGAATCGGTTGGAGAGATTGTCTTAGAAATGATATTAAGATGAAGATCATGGTCCACAAGCAAATTCTGAATACTTTAATCACAGATATTTTTGCTCTTATATTAACAATTCATGACGAAAAATGATTCAAGTGACTGCAAACGCCTGGTCCTACTAGGCTGAGCCCTGTGACGAACAGCGAGAGTTTCCCTTGTACCCCGAGCGGTTCGCGAGTCAGATGTCAACGGCGCTGGTCCTTCGCAGATGTGGGGCGAGGGGCGAGGGAGGGGCTTCGGAGGGCGGGGCTTTCGGGGGTGAGCAAAGCGAGGTTCGTAGGGACTTCGGAAATTCATAGAGATGCGCGGGCTGGGTGTCGGACTGCACTGGGTTGGTGGGGGGGTCCCTGGTCTGGCCCTGGTCCGAGTAGTCACATGAATTTCAAGGTAGTTCCAGTTCGGACACTATAAATATAACCTTAAGTACAAAGGTGCGTGGCCAATAGTCACGTGGCCAATAGTTTGCGCGCGGCGTATACGGTATTCCATTTCCTTTGCTTGGTATGAGGCGAACTAAAATATACCTAGAAACATTAAAAAAACCAAGTTGATTGCAATAAATGTATTTCATGTCGACGATTTTTTAAATCAAAATAAATCCCCCCAAAAATGATAAACTTTTGTCATTTTTTTCCAATTTGACATTTCTTAACAGTTGTTCCGTGTGTGTGGTGGTCTATAAAATGTTGCTTTTCAGGGACTGTTATCTATTTTCCATTAATAATAATAATAATTATTATCATCATCATCATCATCAAAGATGATGTCTGCTGTTTGCGTCTTAATGCACGATTAATAGTTTTTTTATAATACATTAGGACGTTTTCCTCAGATCACTTTCAATATCATGTACTGTTGTATGTATTCCCTCCTAATATTTGTGGTCGGGATATTGGGATACTTTTCGATTCCCTAACAGAGGGATCATCGTTGATCTGAACTTCCTCTACAGGAAGAGCTTGAATTCAGTACAAGTTGTAGTGACCCTATGTAAAATTACAAAAAAGGTTACATTATATTTGGAAGAAATACAGTGGGTATATCAACTCAAAGTAACCTATTTTGTTTCTAAAATAGTGTAGCTAATGCTTGTTATACTTTTTATTACGAAAATGAACAAATGATATAACACATCCTTATTGGAATTCCAGCAAAGAGAAGCTGAAAAATTGCAGTGTGGAGAATTTCGTACGACTCGCGACTATTTAAGAGATAAATTGTTAGCTTGAAATAAAAACTAGTGGTACAGAATGGCGCCAGTGGTACTACAGACTTTCCCGTATTAGTTTTCTATTTTCTTTCGTCTCGGGTAGCTAGACGCCACGTACTCTTGCCAGCTGCCATCTATCAGCACCCAAGTATATTTTTTTGTAATTTTCTTAATTTTTTGCTTTCCTAATAGTAGAACAGAAATATTGTTTTAAGAATAGTAAAGAACAATAAAACTATGTCCGAAATGGCAATTTCCAGAAAAGTAGCTTATGATTTTATAATTATATCTCATAATGAATATAGCTAATTCTTCTTTCCAGATTTTATCAATAGTTAAGTGCAAATGAATGCAGTTGAATATTCTTTCCAATAGATTATGATAACAGATTCCGCAATTAATAAATCAATATGTGGCAGAAACAAACTAGTGAAGTTTAAATTCTTGAGAAAAAGAAAAATGATAACGAAAAACTATTTTTTTTCTTTTGTTCATTTATTTTCTAATTTATTAACGCTTGTTATGACAACCCACTTATTGTGACAATCTTATCGTTTTCTTCATGGCTTAATAGAAATGGACGAATACGTGGTACTTATGAGGTCACTGAACTTATATAAATTAGGTAAAATTGATTGTTTGAAGAAGCGAAGGAATGAACTAAAATAAAGAGGGAGTAGTTTTCTGCCTTTTGCCGCTTTGGAAAGAGACATTTGCAGAGGTTACTTAACATCGAGTTCTGTAAAGCGGCAGCAGGTGAAACGATTCTGCGGTCATTTGGTGTACGACATTCTCTTCGTTCCGCTGTGAGCCATCGCACTTCGAACCAGGAGGCAAATCCCACAGCCAGAGCTTCAGCGAACAGCGGCGGACGGACGAAGCCTCCCCCGCAGCATTTAACTCCGCCACATGTCGGCCATCTGCTTCGGTTTATTCCCAGAATGAATCAGCGCGATTCCGAGCTATTTCGGAGAACAACAACGGCAGTCCTGTGCACGAGCCGCGGCACACACAATGCGTTTTCGTTTATTCGGCCACGAGCGGCGCGCTGGCTGCTTGCGCGTTGTATTCCCCGCCGCCACGCACCGGGCATTCCACTGCAGCTGAGGCGGGGGCGTGCCCTCGAGATGCGACTTTCGCAAGAGCGCTGCAGTGGCGCTGGGCTTCCGGGGCGGTGTTTGGTCAACACGCGGCGCGCCACCGCCGAGCAAGGAATAAAACGGGCGTGGGCGCGCCGGAGTGCGAGAGAATGTGCAGGGTCGGCGCGGTGTGGCTGGCGCTGGTGGCGAGCTGCTGGTGCCGCGGGACGGACGCGCTTCCGCGCCCGCAGGACGCGCTCTGGCGTCGCCCGGTGTGCGTCGAGGAGCAGGCCCAATGCGCCGCCGAGGACGCGCCCGCACCGCTCATGCTGCTGCTGCAGCAGGGTACGCACCGGGGACTGGTGGCTCAGGGCATCAACTGCCTCTGACCGAGAGGTTCTAGGTTCGACTCCCCACGGTGGCAAAGTTTTCGACGCTAGCTTGTCAGATAGGTCGAATTCGGTCGCTGTCTGGAGGAGAACCGGCTGCTCCGATCGGTAGTTTTCCGTGGCTTCTCCGATCAATACTTGACGAATGCCGCAGAGGTTTCCTAACAAACGGGCCACGGACCGCATGCGATCTTTCCTTCCTCTTCGTTGTCCTACATGCACTACACGACCATGCATGCCGGGAGACCAGTCGAGAGCTTTGGGCTTATCGCGGCTGGGGCGGTGCCCTGCTGGCGGGAGATACCTGGTTAGGGGAAAACCCCTCTAGCCGACAGTAGGTCGGCGCCGGATCTCGCCATTCAGCGGGGGAAGCCACCCCCGAGGAAAAAACATATACTAAATTTCCGAAATTAATGACCTTAGTAGCTGACGCGCCTGGAATTACTAACAACCAACCATCGATAAAGAGGGTCACTGGTTCTGTCACAACTTCATCTACCGCTGCAGCGTCTCTCATCGGAAGGTCGTGGGTTTGGGTCCCGACGGTGGCGGTTTTCTACGGTCGGATTCAGCCGCTTCCTGATCCAAACCCTCAAAATAACTAATCATTTGCATGACATTGAAGCTTATTCAAACTTTGTAATTCTCTATTTTAGAGAAGAAATATGGTATCTCTCCCTGACTTAAAAAAGTAATTGCGTTACCCGCACATTCATTTTAAAGACATACATTGCAATCACATAATTGATACATTTATTACACAAAAATAGATGTAGGCATTTAAGAACATTTTGGCCAGGTTTCAGTATCGTGTTGATCATTAAGATGTGGAACGAAAATAATTATGATCCATTCAATTAGTCAAGTTCATCCTAAATGCACGTGAGCAGAGCTTTAACTGAGTGCGAATTGACAGGAAATGGGGAGTTCCTTCCCATCTAGATAATGCCCTCTGCTGTAAAAGTATTCGTTTTTCCCTGTTAGAAGAAAATTATCATAACCCACTTCTTTCCGTTTCATTTATGATTTACAAATGCATTAGTCAAAGAATCATAGTCAAGAAACCAAGCCTAGTTTCAATGAAACTCTCAGTGGCCACATGTGTGTATAATATAGCAAAAGTAATGTATTTATAAAAACGCGGAATCCATCACTTTTGTTCATATAATCAATAAATGGATTATTGGAGTTTAGTGGCAGAACACCGAGAACAGTAACCGAGAGCCCTTTTTTTATAAAGGTTGTATCAACTCCTAGGGCATTAGCGAACACTATTGCGCGAAGCGGTATGGTAACTGTGACGATGACACGATATGGTCATGATAGGGGGTGAAAGGACGAACACAACACATAAGACGGGAGTCGAACCCGTGAGCCTTGTGGAGAGAGATCGCTGCGGCACTAACGCTTCAGCGATCTCCGCCATCCGGACCGGAGAGGGCTTGCGTCGTTTACAGCACATTCCAGATGGATTGGTCGGGACTCGAACCCATGCACCAGGTGCAGAAGTCGTGTGAGCTAGCCATTACGCATCACGCTTTCTCCCCCTCCCTTCACTGGGCATGCAATCTCTAATATCACTTGTTTGTTTCTCATTTCTGAACTCCCGCCCCAGAAGAAGCACTCCCAATCGCACCGGCTTCCAACTCAGGTTTCCTCTCTCCCGTTACACTGAAGAGACGGTAATTTACTTAATGAATCGGGTACATTGGGCTTTTGCAGCGGAGTAAGGGCCTAACTTAAATATACTACTTACGCCTAAAATTTAAAAAAAATACTATATACAGTGCCACTTTGGGCGATGCTTAGTTTAAACAATTATTTTTTTAAATATTTTCTTTAGTTGAAAGTTGTTTAAAATGATCTTCACTTGTCTTATTTTTCTTTCATAATTCAGACTCGTTGGTCATTATTATTGCCAGGCTTGCAACGTGCGTGTGTGGTGTGCGGCAAGGTGAGGGCGCCGAGGGCGCCAACCGCGGTCCCCGCCGCTGCGCGGCGGCGAGCGGGCGGCGGCGCGCCACAAGCCCTTCATGCGGCGCTCGCTGGGCGCGGGCCGGCGGCGGGGGCGGGGGCGGGGGGGGCGGGCGCGGGCGCGGCGCGTGGCCGCCAAGGCCTGCGTGCACGCTCCATGCATCCCGACTACCTGCGGCGCCTCAACGCCGTCGACACCCGCGCAATGGGGCGGCCTCGGCCCCGGCGACCGCGCCGCAGGTACGGTTCCTTTCCGATGCACACACATCGGGGGCGCGGTCGGGGATTGGCGCGCACAAATGATTCGCAAATTACGTTGGATGAGCTGGAGCCGTTTTACTTCTTAGTCTCAACATTCCGCCAACCGGAGAAATTTTGTTGTATAATATTTACTATGTAAATAGAATAAAGAAAAGTACCTTTTAAAACTAATCTTTCTGTTTTCCTTCTTCTTCTTCTTCTTCATCTTCTCTTTTTTCTTCTTCTTTTTTTCTTCTTCTCTCTTTTTCTTTCTTCTTCGTCTTCTTTTCTTCTTCTTCTTCTTCTTCTTCTCTTTTCTTCTTCTTCTTCTTTCTTCTTCTCTTCTTCTCTTGAGTAGTGCACACGCGTGTGTTCTACCTTCACAATATTCTTCCATATCTTCCTTTTCATCATTATTAATCACTACTATTCGCCTTTTCTCAGGACTTCCGACACATCTTTTGCCAATGGATTGACAGAGCATTGCCAAATGGGTGATTCTACTGGCGTCATCTTCGATTGTGTGGTCCCCAAGAATCTTTAAATTTTTCTAGTTCTTGAATTTATTATAAATGCCTCGATCTATCGGATATCTTATTTCCTATGAAGTCGATATTTGGTGGCAGACTTTCACGCAATCAAAAGCGCGTATCCAGAGAAAATCAGATTTCGATTCCGTTTCAGAGGGATTTGCCAATTGAGTTGCGATCACTAGACTTTGTGGATCAATTGTTTTCCTGATGATTCTGAGCTCGTCATTAACAATTGTCGTGTGTTCCCATAAGGGCTAGTGAATTATTTTATCCGGGAGGTGCAGGCGTTCTGCCTGGCTGGACGTAAGATTTTTTGAGCCCACTTACACGTCGGCTTGTGAGAGAATTTTCCCCTGCAGATTTCCACTAGTAGCGCAAGCCTGTGACCAGTCTATTGTATGTGTATCTGAGTGTCGGTGTGTAAGGGAAGATGTTGGAGAAGGAAGAGGATGGAAAGATTGCGAATTGTTAGAGTATTATTTGTTAGAGTATTTTTGTTAGAGTACTGCTCTCGGTCGCCTGAAATTTCTAGGAGAATTTTCGGAAAACTACCGATTATAGCAGATGTCTTCGTAACTCTCTAGATACTGCTGAATTCGACGTAGCTATGTAGCCAGCATACAAATTCGCCACAGTTAGAATCTGGTATCAGTCTGGTACCTTCAGTCCTCCCAGTTAGTCGCTTCACAGACAGTTATCTCTGACCTAACCGGTTTACAACGTCTTTTTTGTTTTGTTGCATGTAGGTGAAACGGACGGTTTAAAAACTCTCATACCTCAAGTGCGGACCTTTTAATCGAACATGTGTCTCTAGTAACTACAAGAGGACGCAGATATTTCCACCTGTCTTGTATCCAGTGCAATGTAGTGATCAACGGGAAGTCTTTTTATATTCATTTAAAATAATTATACAATGGACGTTTGTAGATAAGTGCAAATAATGTAATCGAGAATTGACTATATGTTGTCATCCGGCTCAAGGAAAATTTTTAGAGTGCAATGGAATTTTTTTTTTCATGTTGGACTTTTTAATGATGTTGCACGTGGAAAATGGAACATTTTCTTGTGAGTAGAAGCATTTAGTAAGTTTTTATTTCATTAAAATTTTCAGGAAAAGTTTAAACTTGCCGTATATCTGATATCTAAGCAGTTTTATAACAAGGCTGATCACAGTTAACAACAACATTCATTATCGTGCTTTTGATGTATTTAAATTTCTCTTTGGGGAAAGAGTGTATATTTTCGTCCAAGCGAAAAGTTCAGATTTGGAGTTTCGCGGTTTCATTGTCTGGACAAGTGTCCGATCTACTCAACAGCGGCGATGAGCGGCTTAAGCGCCCCGCGACCAGGCTTCGAGCGGAGGTCCCGTCAACCGGACGGGCGGGCGGGCGGGCGAGCGGGCGCGGAGGTCGTCGACCTCCTGGGAGGGCGGGGCCGCGCCGAGCGCGGGGAGGGGTGGCGGAGGAAGTAGTGGTGTGGGCGGGGCGGGGCGGCGCGCCATTGAGGGGCGCTAGGCGGCCGCGGCGCGGACCGGAAGGAAACGCGAGGGGAGCACGGGAGCGAGACTGTGGGGGCGAGTGGGAGTCAGCGGAAACGTAACAATAGTAATTGTAAGAATAATAATAATTTCTTACGCTTTGTAGAGTTATGTACTGCAGGAACCATCTACGTAAGATTACGGTAGGTTAGGCTTCCTGGCCTTTTGTCTGATTTGTTTCCCCACTTCCAGGGCCCTCTGCACAAAGAATGGGTAAAAGAAGACATTATTTTCTTATTTGGAATTGGGGAGAAGATAGATGGAAAGCACCAACTTCTCACCTCCAATTTTCCCCTATAATTACAATCAGTAAATCCAGTACGTATTGGTACACATTGGTCGGCGTCTTCGTTAAACAACTACAATTATGAAGATACATTTGGTCCATAATAAAAAGTGTTCATCAATCTTCAAATAACATTCTTTTTTAATAAGAGTACTTTTCCTGTTGCAATTTTGACGCTTTTAAAACCATTTCAAACAATTGTTTTCGCAAAAATGGCTCGAATTTTTTTCTTTCTTTTTTTCTTGTATATACCAAAGAAGTGTATAGTAAAGAACATTGTCTCATTATCGGCCTACTATCTGCATTTTCAAAATTCGATCAAAAAATTAATATTGCAAAAGTACAATATTCACGATAGAGATTGTTTTACATGAAATTTGTTCTAAAAATAATTTCTTTAAAAAAGGTCATGCACGAGATTTCTTTAAAAAAATGTCATACAATTGTTTAAAAATATGAGTATTTTAACGTAAAATTTACAAGTGTTGAAATTGTATATTTCCTTTTCTTCATTTGACGATATGTCAGTTTGAAATTTTTAAAATTCTCATTGTTGGACATGGTAATGAGACCATTGTAAGGGTTTATAATTTATTTAGTTATCGTCAAAACAGTTAAAACTGTCTGACGTACTGTGGAGAGAAAAGCATTTTGTGAACGTTTTCTGAAATCTGGGATCCGTACTCTTAGTCATATTACGGTGAATTCTGTATACAGATGGAAACAAGCGTTTGTTCTTCAATTTGTAATGAAAGTTTGGGCGAATATTCTTGGGTATGAGAACGTATGAATCATTTAGCATTATATATTCACACAAATAATGACATTTAATTCGTGTTACAACGAGCAGACGTGGATAATATTACAATACTATTGTATAGTAAAATCTGTCTAAGCTGGAGTCGATCGAGACAAACAAAATTCGGTTCAGGGAAGTTTCCGTTTTATGCAAAGATGTGTATTTTATTTCACTTGTAATATTGGTATTTCCGTCCTGAAACTAGTCATGTCTTAATTATATTTAACATTAACGGGTAACATATTTATGTTTATTTATTGGGGAGTGGGAACCACCAATAAGTGACTATTAAACATTTTTCATTGGCAGGTACTGAGTTTCTCTTCCTTCTATACATTTGACCTTTTCATCTAAGAGTAGAGTTTTATATTTCTTTCAACCTTTGTTAAACAGGTTCAGAAATTCAAAAAACACACATGGCCTAAGGACTGAAGTCGGACAGCTTCCTGACTCTTTCATCGCAAAATTCGCCACAGCCCAGAGTACCATGACTTTCTGATACCTTGGCATAGCAGTGTGTCTCTGGCCGAGGGGTTATGATTTTAATCACAGGCAGGAAGATGCGTGAATTAAAGTCATGATCGTACACCTTGCCATGCTCAAAGAGTCGGAAGAGAGGGCCTACCCTTATGGCCTACGCCTTGAGAGACAAGCGACCCCAAGGTCGAATTCTACGCTGACAGCTGAAGCTCTCTTCTCAGTGCGGCAGCCACCACTATATCGCGTGTTACATTCATCAAAAATTTAAAAGATATGTAGATGCATTCTTTTCAATAAGAATATCTTACGCCTTTCTAGCAATTCACAGGAATTTCGCTTTATAAAGTACCTCGGTACGTCATAAAAACTGTTCCGTTTTACGCTATGTAAAATGCCATATAACTTCACCAGTCGGATAAATTTTCCGGTTAAGGCAGGTTTCCTGCATGAACAGGTTCCGGTTTAGACAGATTTTACTGTATAGAATAATTTATATTATATATTCTTCGAACTATTTGCATTTGCTTGCTAGCGATATCAGTGTTACTAAATGTAATGTATGCCAAATGAATCGTCCATTGTTGATTTAACTTAGCCGCACTGGCAACAACGCGCATCGGATATGTTTGTGAATACACTGAATATCTTCTTAGACGTAATTCAATGCCATAAATATATTTTAATTTAAACATTTGAATAATTTTTTTCACGCTACGTTTTATTACAAGGTAAAGTGGTATTTGATGTGTAAGAATGACAAAAATTGTGACCTATTACATAACATTAACATTATGCATTATACTGATGTGCAGTATTATATGATAATTTAAATATCTAGTCTTCATTACAGCGGTTTCCAACTATGTCTGGCAATTCACTCTCCGCTCGCCACACTTCCTACTAAAAAACAAACTAGTAAATAAACATGCGAATGCCAATATTTCAATATATTACTCAAAATGTTTGCTTTTGCTACAGATGGGCAGCTACGAGAAATACAAACAATATAACACACGTGTTCTGAGCTGTAAGTTTTACAGTTCTAGGGAGAGCAACGTAATTCAGATACTTGAGATACATTTAGGCAATCATTTGGATTAATTCAGGTACTTGATTCAGATTATTGGAAAGCCCAAAATTAATTCATGAAGGCTACGTGGATTTCCTGGATGACAAAATATATACCATTTTTGTAATTAACATACCAAAACTTTGTGAGACTCAGTGTATGACATTGTTTGAAAACCACTGTTTTAACATTTTCATTAATCTATATTAAAATACCATTGCATTTCCAGTGATTGAAGAAAACATCGTGGACAACATCTCTGTGCGCGAATGCTCGAAGTGAGAAGTCGAGTGGGATACGAGGCACACCAAAGCTGAAGCAAGATTGAAGCATTGAAGCTTGTCGAAGCACTCAAACTCTTCTGAAACGTCTCCAGACTTCTCACGTCAAAATATTGCAAGGGCTGAAGAGACTCGCTCTGATAAGTGTTTGTGAGAGGTTGTTTGTTTCGTTCTGTAAATGTCTATGTAGACAAAGGGAGCGCATTTTCTTGAACAAACGTCTCGTGAGATTACTTTTTTTCTTTAGAACGAAGGACGCAATACCTGCTATCTTTATTCAGCATTTATGAGAACTAATGAGCAATTTTCTTTTGAGAATGTTAAATTTAATCAGTTTAAGAAAATTCTGTGTAATTCAGGTAATAACTTCGGGAAAATGCAGAAGTCTATTTTTGTATATGTAGAACAATGCGTGAGCTATCCTTGTCTTATGATTGCTTTCATTGTAAACGAAATGAATATGTCTCAATTACGATTATCATACGAATACGACAATGTCTACGATTATCATGCGAAAGCAAGATTTATACTTCGTAAGTCTGTTATAATTTGATATACAATTTTATTTGTTATGCTGTTTTTAATAAAACATTACAATCTATTATCGTCTCCTTTATTATTTCAGTAGTGTACATACCTTTTTGCGGCTCTCACATGCAACCGATCTTTATAAATGAGGTCTCTAAAGAAATAAATTTTTACGCAGACCTGACAAATTGTACTTTTACTTTAAAAATACGAATGATTTGTGTAAAAAACGGACTTAAATATCCAAGTCTTACGCAACCCGCAACACTCAGGTATATCGTTAAATAACTCGTAAACAAAGCTTTCTAGGGCCTTAAAAACTAAAATTTTCAGGTCAAAGTTCTCAAATAATCTTAAAATGTCACTTTAGAATGTATCACAACCAGAACAATCAGTACCTCACATTTTAATAAAGGAGTTGGCAATAAATATACTTTCAGAAAAGTCCAAAACACGACGTGATATAACGATAGGTAATGAATATAAATGTAAGTTCCATCTACATCGATGAAGTGTTCAATAGAATGCTGATGATACTAATTTTCCCTCGATATTCAAATAATTAATTATAATATATCAATAATAATAATAATAATAACAGTAATAATAGGTCGAGTCTATGATATAGTAATAAAACTTTTATTACTGAATGCTATATGAGCACGATCTAACGAAAATCGTTATTATAATGTTCTTTTATTTTCAAAATACCACTGCGGAATGATGATATAGGAGGCTACTTTTCAACAAGCTTGTGATTGTGTAGACTTTTTATACACACAAAAAATCATTCTTCTTTGCATTTCCCTAACACAAACATATATATCACGTATTCTAATACCATATCTTCCTTATTTTGCATTCTCAGAATGTATGATGTATGTCTATTAAGTATTGAAAATGATTTTATTACGTATCGCATGGAATTACGTATTGCTAATATTATGAGGAGCGCATGTGTTATTTTTTTTTCATAATATACAGGCTAATTCAGTCATCGTTACACGAACTGGACCCAGTGATAAGAGTACACTAAGTCACGAGTGCAAAAGGAAATGACGAAAACTATTCAAAATTTTGAAAAACGTTTTTCGTCACTGATCATACTTTGCAAAAAATTTCGCCCAAATATTATATTAAATATGGTTCCCAGTTGCTTTTATTGCCTACTTATCTAACGAATGTGCAAGGAGAGAGAACAAACTATTATTAAAATGTTATTTAGGATAGTTTTCATAATTGTTATTCAGCCAAAATTTCACATTTTCACCTCGTGTAACACGGGCTCTACAAGTATTCACAATGGCTTTCTCTTGCGTGAACGCAAGACCTAAGATACTTTGCCGGGTTGTGTATTTATACCGCCACGCTTTCAATGCACCGAAGGTCATCACGATCCTCGACTTAAAGCAAAAACGCGCATTAATTCCCAGCCCCGAAAGCGTAGGGAGTACTCGAGTCATAAAATTCAGATGCTGAACGTCTCTTGAACGCTCTGGTAAGAAATGAGAGCTCAGGATAAATTCGTCCGATACATTTACACTTACAATGCCAACCGATACATTTACCGAAAATCACCCTAGATGGGCTACACTAGGATGCGGATTGTAGACATGGCCCTCACATGAAGATTGTACACATTAATTCAGCCAGTTCTTATAAAACCCGCTTCATCCTACCAAAGAACGAAATTCCTGGTTTTCTTTGCATTTGCGCAGTAAATGCCTTGAGAATAGAAAGCAACGTTATATGCCTCTACTGCGCAAATGCTGCACCCGCTGGAAATGGATAAGTCGAAAATCTCTCCGCATGAATTGTTCGCCGGACGAGGGACCTGCGTCGACCTCGCGTGCTATTTGCCTGGCGCCGCTTCCGCAGCTTCTCGGACAGCGTTAGGAATTGAGCTTTCCAGAGACGTGGCGAGGCCCAACGCGAGATGAAAGCCGCTTGCTCCCTTGACGTAGCCTTGCAACGCGAGCACTTAAGCAGGAGCACGAGAGTTTGCGAAAGGCTGTTGGAGGTTGCACAACGTGTAACGTAATGTGGATAAAGGAACAAGTCTGCTACGACACCACATCTGCAATTTCTTGGAAATGTAGACAATGGTGCTATCTCATTCGTACCGTATCAATAGCTGTCGTTCGTCACACATGCCGTACTACCGTATCAATAAAAACGTGTTGATATCGAAGATTACTGTGCACTTTCTTTTCAATGTCTTTATGTTTTCTACTTTTGCTTTGCTTTATCTGTTTATTTGAAAACGTCATATGATTCTGTATACCATTCGTACTTTGTATCTAAGTATTAGACTCAAAAATTAGGAAACATCATGAATTTATCGTCAATCATATCAAGGTTCCAAAATGAGTTAAAATAATTCAAAAACAATAGAAAGAATACATTTTCAGTATTTATTAACCATACGACTTCATTTTATGAGTTCTAATATGTAGATAGTGAAGACTCTTTTTGAATATGATCCTATTGCGCAACTACTATAATCAGCAGGATCAGATATCTTGCTGATACAGTAGTAAGATTTATAAGTGGACACACTTTTCCTGTGCTCAACTTATAACTTCGGCACCTGGCGTCATCATTTTTCTGCGTCATAATTCCCAATGAGTCTGGTAACATAACGACCCATTGCCGCGAGCACGTAGACCGCTTGTCCTCCCGCCTCATTGGCCGCTCGCACTGCGGATCTTATGTTATGAATCACTGAACAACACACACGCTCGCCAATGGAAGGGTGTTGACGAATATTTCTCTTGGTTTTAATTACAAAAAAAATATACTGCAAAAGTGTCCCTAAAAAAGGGCGCGGCCTTCTTTCCCTGATGTGACCTGACTGTTGGATTGCCAACCGTCCTCCATTCGGGAGGACAGTTCTCCATTGGCCTCTCGGCCTCCTTTGTACTTTAAATGTCCTGCTTTTAGTAATTTTTACTTTGCCGTATACGTACATACGTAATATAGGGAAAGTTATGTTATGCTGCGGAAAATATATTTCGAGCTTTCAACAGAAATACACGTTTTGGGGTCCCCACATACCGAAAAAGAGTATTTTTCTAATGTTCGTCAATTAGAGAAATGTGCATTTTTTTATAATTTTAGTAGCTTTTGGGGAATATTGCGTGAAATATTTGCAATTTTAAGAAATAACAAAAGCAAGATTTTCTCAAAAACTGCTCCAAATTTTTTCTTTAATCTTTTAGTAGGGATAGTGCGAAATGTTTTCAATAAGAAATAAAAGGCGTCGTATTGATCTCTTCTTTTGTTTTTTCGAAAAATACAAAAACATATTTTATTTACTTTTTTAACGTTGTTAATGTTTATATTATTGACAATTTGTTCGCATTATTGTATTTATGAGTACATGTGCTTTCAATAATGTCAATTAAAGTTTCTCCAAAAATGAAACGTTTTGTGTGAGAACTGGCTCAAAGTTCCGCATTTTCAGAAATGCTCGAGGATTGAATGGTGCATTGCCTATACGCTTATACATACGATTAAGTAATAATCGTAATTATGTAATTTACTCGTTTTTGATCTGCTAGGACTGATATAAACTGTAAAAAGGGTCTTTAACCCTACGTAGTTACAACTTATTAATAATTCAAGTGCCTCGGATCTCCGAAAACTTTTAAAATGGATCATATTAGTTTTCCACGAACGGGTGGATTCAGTTCAGTAGCGATGTCTGACCCAAACATTGCCCTATCTTCAACTATGAACACAATATCATATAATATCAATGCAACTCCAATGCACCAAGATAATTCTTCAAATGAATCATCCTTTCAACAAAATCAAGGTATTCCTCTTTCAAATATGCAACACGGCTCATCAAGTGATTCTCTATTGCAGAGAGTATATATCTATTGTTCAACTTTCAGCTCTATTGTTTCAACTTTCCTCATCTCAACAAAATAATTTCAAATTTAATCCAAATGTATCATCTAGTAATACAAATATGAATAATACATTTACCATTACGTAAGGATTTCTCAGCAATAAAGTGAAAAAGCGAAAGAGAGAAAGAGCTTAGATTATAGTTATTATTCAGGTAAATGACTGGCTAAAACAAATAATCTTCCATCAGCTTCTGGAATTCCGTTACCTAATAAATATGCAATATTCGCAGAAGTGCAACCAACAGAACATCAACCTCCACAAATCAAAATCCCACCCATAATTGTATCAAACGTCAATAACTTTCATAATTTCATTGCCGAGATACAAGAAATTGTTAAACTTGGAAATGACCCACACTGTCCTATAAACTATCGTCCAATTAGCTTATTATCTTGACTATACAAAATATTTGAAAAATTCTTATTGAAACGATTAAATGAGTATATTTTCTTAATACAAGCTTTTCCACGTTATCAATTTGGCTTTATAACTCACTATTCAACAACTCTAGTTGGGTTAACTCAACTACGGTTACGAGATTAATTGCAAATGGTTTTCATGTTAAAGAACACACTGTTGGTATATTTCTAAAGCATTTGATAACGTCGGTCTTCTGTACAAGCTACAACATATTGGTAGGTACACCATTATATCTATTCAACATATTAAAATCTTTCTTACTGACCGACTTTTTGCTGTTAAAATTCATACATCTCTTTCTTCACAACGACCAATAAATAGTATCAGGGATACCTCAAGGATCCATATTCTCTTCTTTGCTTTTTAACATAGATACGTCTGACATTTCCTTTTTCTACTCTTGCCCTTTATGATGATAATACTACATTATTCTCAACTCATAAAAGTTTACAATTTTCTAGAAATACTTTACAAACAGCAATACAAAAATATGTGAAATGAACACAAAATTGGAGAATTATGGTAAACCCTTCTAAAACTCAAGCCAAAATCTTGACACTTTGCATACCAATAAATCCCTCTCCATTAATAATAAATAACACATATGTACCTTAGATGGAAAATAAACGTCCAGTAAAATATTTAGGTTTTATAAAAAAAATGGACATGGAAACACCATATTCAAAACATATCCAACCCGACTTATCACAAAATTTCAAAGTTATATC